ATGGACCTCGGCTTTGACTTCTACTCCAACTTTCTCTAAAAAGTGCATCTGATTTACTAGTGTCCAATGATTTTCTTCTAATTTCCTCATTGAGCAAACTGCTTACCATACTCATTGTGACTTTTCCTTCGGCTGTAGAATTAATAAGAGACACCACAAGTCTCCCAACTTTTCAGTAATGAACTCAGTAACAATAAGACTTAGAGCTCATCATCCAACACCATTTTCATTGATGCCAACTGATTTACAACATCTTGCATCTGGTTCAAGTGTTCAATAATGAACAAATCCTCCATCTACTTCAAATTTACGAGCTTCCTTATTAAGAATGCCTTATTGCCGGCAGTTTTCTTATCATACAACTCTTCTAACTTATTCCAAAGAGGAACAATTGAAGTTTCATTTGCCACAAGATGATAAATACTATCACCCAACCATTGTCGAATGCATGCAACGGCTTTCAAGTCAAGAATTTCCCATTGGTCACTTGACATATCCTTGTGCTTGCCTTGTTCACCTTTCAACGGTGCATACAAGTCTTTAGAGAGCAACATATCTTTCATTTTTTATTTCCAAAGAGACCAATTGCTTCCATTCAATAAAATCATCCTAACTGAATTTCCTTTCATGATTTGCACAAGAACCAAGAACTAATAGCTCTGATACCACTTTGTTGGGAATAATTCCTATATTTTTCTTTGCACAAATTAGGGATATCTAAACCAATAAAGAACATGTATGCAGTAATAAAAATGAATGACCAAAAACAGAGCAAGCAATAGTAGACACCAAGTTTTTACATGAAAAACCCCTCAATGTGAGGGTAAAAACCACGAGACAGAAATCTAAATCATCCACTCTCAACAATGAGAATGGGATACAATGTTTTCCTATCTAGTGAGAATTAGATAATGAACACCAAGAAAGCTCTTGTGTTCCTACAACAAAACATCAACAAAGTAAACAGCAAATAGGAAATCTCTCACCAAAGGTGAAAACACAGCAATGGAAGCAAGAAGAGATGCTGAAAACAAACTTGTCTTCTTCATTTCAGCCATTGTAAATCTTCTTCTTCCAAACTCTTCTTCTCAAAACCCCTTCTCTGTTCTTTGCTATCTCCTAGAGAGCTGCTGAACTTAAGAGAGTGGAGAGTGAACTCTCCAAATTCGTTGATAGCCCAAAAACGTATTGGCTTGCAAGACAAGCCAAAGAATACAAAAAGACCCTTTCTTGATTTCCCCTTTTTGTCCTTTCCAACTTTTACTTCATTTTGTCATTATTTATTTGTGGGTCCCACCTCATGAGAAGGACAGCCCAACAAGTAGTTTATCACAAGGTTTTAAAAGGCTAAAGGCGAGGTGTTTTGAGGCATAAGCCTTGAGAAAAAGAAAAAAGAAAATGATATAATCCATAAACAACAAGACCTAAAAACATAAAATTAGGATCTTATATGACTTGTATGATATATTAGACATGGATTCATGGTTCAAACTTCAAAGTATCCATACACCCCAATATGTTAAAAGGGATGCATTGAGTATTGACACTTTGAACCATGCATACATTTATTTTAGTTTTTTAATTATACAAGGTTAGTTTTATATTATTTAATTACTCAAAAGATTTTTTAAATACATTAAAAGGGGGGATGCAAGGATTTATATCATCTAGTTGAGAGTAGAATAGTTTTGAAGACTTCGATGGGATGTTGGACACGGAATACACAAGGTAGTGTGGCCACACGGAGGGTCTCTTTTGTGGATAGAGTGGAGACAAGTGCTGCAAGTTTCTAAAGTATAGATGATGGTAAGAGAAAGATTCAAGTTGGAAAAGAGGAAGGATCGAGGTCCCTCTCTGAAGTTAAATAGGATTGTTAGATTAGGTACAATTACATAGGTACATTGGCCATTTTGTTTGAATCAAGTGGAATCAGGACCGACTGATTCATGCTATGTGTAACTGATGGTATTTTTTACAAGACCAATGGATGTTTGGGGTATTTTCAAATAGGTGGAAGCACAAATATTGTATCTCTAAGGTGGTTGAAAAATAAGTTAAGGTGGAGATTATTGGGATTGTGTCTTATTTTACAACCATTGGATTAATTTTAATCTAACAGTTGGTGTGGTCTCACTTTAGATTAAAGAGGTTTTATAGATAAAAACTTCTTTTTGTATATAGGGTTAAGGCTTTTTTAGAGAAAATGTGTGAGAAAACTACAAAGTGCTCTTGGTGTAAGAGTGTGTTTTTCTCTTGTTTTTGTTCTTCGAGTTGAGAGGAAAAGGAGAAGGGGTGTACAATTGTTAAGGGTTGGTTTTGGCTGCAAACCACAATGTACTTGTATTGTTTCTCAATTTTCTTTTTGTCTTTTTTTGGATTTTTTATCATTTTTGTTGTTGTTAGATTTCTCGTGGTTGCTATTTCAAGTAACTTGTGATTTTATACTGTGGGTTGATGTTGTGAGGCCCCAACAATCATTTAGTAGGAAATCAGCACATATATTTTCTTATGAGTGAAAAACCACAGATCTCATGTTACTAACAATATATTTATTATTTTGTAAGAATGAACCATTGAATAAGTATGAGAAATTGTTCCTTTTTTATCATTTGAACAAGAACGCTAATATCATAGTCAACTCAAATTTCATGTATAGATCCAAATAAAAGAAAAAATGAAGGCAAATTCAAATAAATTGATTTTTATACATTTGAAATAAATGGGATACAAACTCTTTGGATTTGAAACTCTCTTACAAAAGAGATAGAACCTCTTATTCTCTCTTGGTGGTGCTTCTTGTAACTTGAGGATTTGGATTTGAGTTGAATACAAGGGTTGAATGACGTGCTCCCATACTTCAAAAAATTGTGGAGATTTCTTCCTTTGATTGGGCTTTTGAAGTTTGATCAAAAGAAGGATTCTATGAGACTGTTTCTTGCAACTTAAGGATTTGGGTTTGAGTTGAAGTCAAGGGTCAGATGACATATTCTTGTATATACTTCAGAAAATGATGGAGATTTCTTCCTTCAATTGGGCTTTGAATGCTTGATCAAGAAAAGGATTCTACAAGACTTTTAAGAGTGTTGTTGCTTTACTCTCAAGAAGGTGTATGTGCTTCCTTCCTCCCAAGAGCCTTCTTACTTCACTTAGTTTTTTTTTTCTTAACTCCAAAAGCCCCCTCCCTCTTGATTGGAACCCCTATTTATAGATCTCTTGGTCTAATCTCTAAATCCCCTTAATTAAGGATATAGTTAGCTCTCCTTACTCTTTTTAGAGAGTAAGAGGTTGTAATTACTATCACTTTTAGAGAGAATAATTTATCATCCATTATTTTCTCTTTAATCATTGAATAATTTTCGAACATATGATTTGATTGACTAGAGATTTAATTGACTCTAGTTACCTTTCATAAAGAAGAGAGTTGGCAATTTACCATTTGTGGAGAGAATGCTTTTTAATCAATTATTCTCTCATTAATTATTGACTAAATTTCCATCTTTGAGACTTGATGAAGGGTGATTTGGCACGACCTAATAAGAAGATGACACGTAGGCACAATCTGATTGAAGGATGATAACTCAGCCAGGCAAGCCCAATTCGCAGCATTCGTAGTTTGGGTATCCATCCACCTCGGCCCAAAACCCGCCTCGGCGTAGAGGCACCTCGGCATCCAATTCAGTTCGGGACTGAAGAATCGAAGTTCCAACTCGGAGCTAACGAGCGGAATCATCGTATAACCAACTCCAAAGGCCTCCCCAACAAATCTCGAATCTCTTTGTCACGATGAGCCAATAGATCCTAAATCTCATAAGATCACGATAAGAACTCATCCCGGTTCTGCCTGAATCGGGGGTAGACGATAAGCCTCATCCACATACTACTCTCCTTCAAAAATGGAACCAACCTTATCTCTTCAACCTGGAGAACCCGGAGCTCTTTCGTAAAGTCCACGACAGCGAAATCTCAAGGCAAAGGTACGCGTGATTACTCTACTCACTAGCACTCAAACTTGTTGTCCATCTGGAGTTCGGATCGCCCTCTAGGTAGAAGTAGTCAGATCGCGCACCATCAATATTTGAGATGGGTTCTAGTTGAATTATTTGGTAGTATGGGTTAAGGTTAAAAATTGACCATTTCACTATGTTGATAGATTTGTAATAGGAAAGCCCAAATATTAAGGCCCACACACTTATTTGGTAGTATGGGTTAAGGTTAAAAAGGACCCATACTAAGGCCTACGAGCGAATTTAAGTTTTTTGGGGGTAAGGCCCATTTGGGAGCCCATGAAAATTTTAATGTCTATAATCACTCCACTTCTATTTCAACAATTTCATGATTGATATATAAGAAAAGACCCATTAACTAATCATTAACTACAAATAATAGTAAAATCTCTGATGTGGATTTCTAAAGTTGAACAGCGATGGATAGCAAAAGAATGTGAAATGTCAAGGAAACTTGTAAGAGACCCACCTTATTTTCCTTCTACTTTGGGATATTAAGCTCTTAAGACGTTCAGGTAAATTTACACTTTGGTTCACTTTTGCCTATGTTTGGCAACATTACATTTATGCATTGATAAATGATAGACCAATACACAGTAATAGTAAATTTGTGGATGCAAAGCTAACCCAATTTTACAATTTATATAAATCATTTTACACACTACAGGGTTAGTAGAGAGGGGAGTAGAGGGAAGTTAGTAGGAAATCCGGACTGACTTCAGATCCGGTTAGCGTCATTTCTCTAGTTTGAAAATTTTATCATTGTAACTAAGTTTGGATTTAACTAGTGAAAGAAAGTAATTTGAAGTGTTGAATCTTGACCAAGGAAGTTTCTTGTTGGTAGGAAGTTGATAGATCCTTCAAACTTTATTATTATGTTACAAGGACATCGGCTTAGACAGAGATTTGAAGCTAGAAATTCTCTATTCTCCAAATTCGGTTTCGGTGGAACTGATTGAGAGTTGGCTTTGCACTCTCATCACTTTCAACCAGATTGAACAAAAAGTCAAAAACTGAAGATTTAATATTCAGTAATTCAATACCAAACGTTACATTTACATTTACTATCGAATACAAACTCGAGATAACAAGAACAAAATGAAGAAAGTAACAAACATCTACCAGAAAACTCCCAATAATCAATATCTGTTTTGTTTTTCACTTGGACTTGAAGTTGATTGAAATGCAGACATCCATTCAGTTTAACCATCCATTCGGATGATGCATCGGAGACCTTCGCCTTTCAGCATGTAATCAAAAGCCTTGTTTATCTCCGAGAAAGGGACTTGATGAGTGATGAACTTCTCCACCTCAAGCTCCTGTCCATTGAAGACCAAGTTCCAAGTCAGTTTCTACATTCAAGTTTTATGCCCACATCTATGAACTAATTACAAGATTTACTAGAGGTTAATGAAGTTGGCCAAGCTTACCTTGTTCATGTATTTTTCTACAACAGAGGGAAGATCAGATCGCGGTTTGTAGTTGCCAAAGAATGTACCCTTGAGAGTTCTTTCATTCAATAAATTCATGGGGTGGGTCTTGAATGTAGCATCTTTATGAGGTACACCCACAAGAACAGCAACACCCCAACCCTGAAAAAAAAAATTAAATTGAAATTCAACACATGCATTAAGAGAGCTTGGTTCTCAGGTTTAGTCATTACAGAGGAAAAAGAATTGTGAAGATAGAAGATTCGGGGAGAGGATTGAAACTTACATCATGAACACATTCAAATGCTGAGATCATGGCATTAATGTTTCCGGTACATTCAACACTCCGGTCAACTCCTCCATCAGTCATTTCAGCAAGCACCTAAATGAAGCAGCACAAGAACATTCAGCTTATTTGCAAGATAAATGCAGATTTGTAAAGCTTCACAATATGGTAAACAAACGTTTCCGAAACAAACCTCTTGAACTGGTTTCTCATGGTCCATTGGGTTCACAAACTCGGTACACCCAAACTTCTTGGCTGTCGAGACGAAACAGAAGAAAATTCACTTGCTTGTTCATCTTCATTTGTATTTTTTTTTTATCAATATCTTCATTTGTAAATTAAATTATTCAACTCTAGAGGCCAAATAAGATTATTCTTTATAGAACTGGATCATTTACCTTCTTCAAACCTCTTTGGGTTCAAATCAACTCCAATGATTCTGGATGCCCCAGCTATTCTAGCCCCTTCTGCAGCCTATTCACATTGCAAAATACAATTCAATTTTCCAGTAAAGGAGATTGGAAAGGGAAAACAAATAATGACAATAATCTATGTGACAAGAGAAGAGATAGAAACTCACAGCAAGCCCAACAGCTCCCAATCCAAAGACGGCCACTGTTGAACCCTTTGGAGGTTTTGCAACATTCAAGGTGGCACCAAGACCTTCAAGAGAAAACCCAAGTTTGTTAGATAAAGAAATAGAAAATTCAAGGTTAACTATATAAATTGGGATTGAATAGATATCTCACCTGTGGAGATACCACAGCTGAGGACGCAAACTTTGTCTAGAGGGGCCAAAGGATTAATCTTGGCAAGGCAACCAACATGAATAACAGTATATTCGCTGAAGGTGGAGGTGCCAACAAAATGGTAAATAGGCTTGCCATTGATGGAGAACCTGGACTGACCATCGTTAAGCATCACACCCCTGTCAGTGTTGATTCTAAGTAGGCTGCACATGTTGCTTTCCTCGGACTGGCAGTGAGCACATTCTTTGCATTCCCCGGTGAAAACAGGGAGGACATGATCTCCTGGTGCAAGATCCGTCACACCCTCTCCGACACTCTCAACTATCCTATATGCCCACAAGAATAAACGAAGCATCGAGTTATAAACCAAAACAGTCCTTTCTACCCTCGATAACTCGTTACATTTACTTCAATCAGCAAGAACAACCATCAATAAGTGATTACATGTGATTTAATCCTATTTAACAAAAAGTAAAAATGAACATACCCTCCTGCCTCATGGCCATAGATCCGAGGAAACAGAGGATTTTGTCCCTGCAAAAATTTGAAACAGACACCCATTTCAATTTGATCAAAGGACTTAACGAAGCATCACCAGAAGAAATGAGTATACTGTTTGAAAGTAGTTACCTTGGCTTCCCAGAAGTAAACATCGGTATGGCAGAGAGAGGTGTAGAGGATCTTCACCCGAACCTCATTTTTCTGTGGAGGTGCCACCTCCACTTCTTCAATCACTAAAGGCTTCCCAGCTTCCCATGCTACGGCAGCTGAGAGACACGGAAAAATGAGAGAAGAGGAAAGCGAATAAACAGAAACAGGTACAGTTTCTTTAAAATCCCATTAGACAAGAGGAAAGCGGACGGATTAAAAGAGTAGAAACTACAAACCCAATAAACAATAAGAGCTTAAGAATCAACCCAACATTCAAAAACAACGGATCCAGAAGAAACAGAAAGACTGACGAGTTGTTGTATTACCTTTGCAGCGAATAACCTGGCCGGCAGTGCTCGACATTCTTGTATTTTTCTTCTTGTATCACGAAACTGAATGAGTCTTCCTTGGTTGGATTTTCGAACGCTTTGAATCGGTGGTGGTGTGAGATGGGGCTCCATGGCAGATGTATTTATATCAGGAGCCGAGGAGGAGCAACTGCCTTGGCCTAGCTCCAAGCCTCCGTTGTAAATGTAAATACAGCGGCCATGAACCCAGAATCCATCCATTCTAATTTCTCTGGACCATGGTTTTGTGCAGTGGTTTTATACTTTTAGAGAGGGAGGAAAACATACCTCTCGATATTCTAAAGGGAGAGAAGAAAGTCAAAGATATGGGAAGATCTTCTCCGTATGTTTTGACCATTAAGAATCCTAACCGTTCAAGATGCTGGAGAGATTATGACCTTGATCAGGTGACCGTTCAGACTCTTGACGGAGAAGATCTTCCGCGTCAGACTTTCACTTAATACACCCAATAGGCCGATACAATACATATTTAAGTACTCTCGTACGAGACAATGCTTGTCAGGTAAAACTGCAGAAGTAGATGATGTCTAATAATCAACTAGTGTGACAGAGCCGTCTGATTTACTGACCTCATAAGTCCTCCCTAAAGAGTTTACGCGTCTCAATCACACCACTTCGCCAGAAGGAATCCTATTCCTGAATCCTGGATGCAGATGTTGACCAATTGATTCCTGGTTTTAATTTACAATTGGCTGGTTTTGTGGATGGATGGATCCCAGTCTTGAGTTTACATGTATCAATTGGCCGGATGAAGATGTTTACACGTAACATTTTATTGTCAGTCTCTGTATCACATTTTGTATTTGTCTTGCCGACAAAGGGGTGGCCAACAACAACTTTCCAACCCTCTACCAACATCTCACACCGCACATCTGATATACGGCGGGTTCTACTTTTTATGGTGAGAAGTGCGTTGTTAGATCGAGTACGGATCTGCTCCACACAACCAGAGCATTTTTATAAAACATAAACACGCCACGTGTCCGTATGCCCATATAAATTCTATAAACGAGTGGAGGAGCCTAACAGTCGTTAGCCTCCGTTTCCGTTAGGCCCCCACCCCAAGTTTTATTGGAAACTTTCTAATTTTTTATTTTATTAGCGGGGACCAGTGCCATGCACGAAATTTGGTAAAAAAAAGTGAAATAATGTATATAAATACTTTTTATTAAATACTGTAATTAATCATATTAATTTATTAATACTGTATTTTTTAAAATACTATTCATTATTAAAAATTATGAAAAATAACACAATTATAAATACTTCTAATCAAATACTGTAATTAATAATGTTAATTAATTAATATTATATTGTTATAATACTGTATTATAATCACATATTAATATTATACTGCAATTAAAAACATACTGTAATTAATTAAATAATTACTGAATTTATTAATTAAATGAAATACTGTATGTAGTTAACAGTAATTTAACATTAATTAACAGTAATTAAATTACATTTTACATTAATTATTGGTTATTAATAAAATGAAATACTATATTTTTATATTATTATTATTACTATTTTGTTTTATGAATATAAAACTGCAACAACAAATTGAAAATAGCAAAATAAAATTTAATTATACATCAAACACATAAATAACATAAATATTCCAAACATTTTCAAATAGATGGTAACATCAAAAAAACACAAAATATCTAATCAATCACATAAATAAAGCAAACATTTTCAAATAGATGGCAACAACAAAAACAAAAATTATCTACACCATTTTCAAATAAATAAACCAAGCATTTTAAACACAAAATGTTAATAAATAAATGTTGTAATTAATGATGTTAATTAAATAATACTTTTAATTGTTAAAAATACTATAATTATGAAAAAATACTATTAATTAATAATACTGTTTTTCAATAAATATTGTAATTATTAAATTACTGTATTTATTTCAACTACATTAATTTCTTGAAATTATCATATTTTCAGAAATATATTGGTAATTTCTTGGCTAAAACTAATTAAATGTAATTTTCTGATAATTATAATTTAAAATAATTTAGTTATAGCTTAAAAATAAATAATGTGAATTATATTACTGTTAATTAATGTTAAATGTAATTTTCTGGTAATTAAATGTAAGTTTATGCTATTTATAGCTTAACTAATAATTACTGTTAATTACAATTTAAAAATCATTTATATCTTATAAGCTTATGTTATTTATGCTATTTATAGCATAATAGACATCACTAATGTATTTTACATTACTTATAGCATAATAGCATAAAACTACATTTAATTAGACTTTCATTATTTTGAAAGATTAACAGTATTTAAAAAAGACAGTATTAATTACATCACTAATGCTATTTATGCTAAATTATATCACTAAATTACATTTAATACTGCATTTCATTTAATACTGTAATTATTAAAATACTAAACTATTAACAATTCTGTAATTATTAAATTACTATATTTATTGAAAAAATATAATTACCATTAAATATAGTTGAAAAATAATTATTTAGTTACATTTTAAAAATAATTACTGTTAACTATTAAAAATACTGTAATTATGAAAAATACTATTAATTAATAATACTGTTTTTCAATAAATACTGTAATTATTATATTACTATATTTATTTAAAATATATCACTTTTTGGAAATTATCGTATTTTCAAAAATATATTGGTAATTTCTTGGCTAAAACTAATTAAATGTAATTTTCTGGTAATTACAGTTTAAAAATAATTAAGATACAACTTAAAAATAAATAATGTGAATTATATTACTGTTCGTTTAGATTCGAAAAGATTTTCTCTTCCAATCTTAGATCAAGAATGGTTAAGGCCTCCTAGAAGATTGCCCAATCGAAGCTTTTGTAAATAATGAAAATGGAAATTATATTAATTTAATAATTACATTATTGTAATTAATACGTAATGGAAATTATTATTATTATTATTATTATTATTATCATTATTATTATTATTATTACATATTTTTCCATTACTATTTTTTGAAAATAATTAAATAATGGAAATTATTTGAGATGAACTTTATTTAAGTGAGGAAGATTAATTCTAATACTTTGATTTAATGAAATAAGTAATAAACAATATTTAATAAAACTAAAAAATGGGAAGGATTGGATGTGGAAACGGGTATAGGTCGGAATACCCAAAATCGGAATCGGTTTTATTTAACAAAACTACAAAATGGGAAAAGATTGGATACCGAAACGAGTGTGGATTGGAATACCCGAACCTCAATAGTTATCATCCTCACCCAGAGTTCGGTTCATGCGCATTTCCATTGCACCGGCCACCAATCAACGGTCATAAAAGATTTGACAATGCGGGAGATGCATTGGAAGCCCAAATAAATGCCTCTTGCAAAACATGTCACTACAAATTCATTTTATTGGTTTAAGTGATATTACATGGATTAAAAAAATAGAAAATTCAAAATTCTGAGAAATTAGGAAAGGGGTGGGGGAGAAAGGAGAGAGGTGCTAACATGGTAGGATCAATTATATATATATATATATATATATATATATATATATATGGATATAGATATAGATAGATAGATAGATAGATAGATAGATAGATAGATAGATAGATAGATAGATAGATAGAGAGAGAGAGAGAGAGAGAGTCGTGCTCAAACCCCCTACCTCTCCTCTTTTCTCTTTGGCAATGAAACAGTGAAACCCTAGCGCCCTCCACTGGTTGTGCTCTCCCCAGCAGCTAACAATCTCACCGGCCAGAATAGATTCCGACAATAGTACAAGGGCTTCCTCTGTTGGGGTTTCTTATTTTTTTCACATGTAGGCTATAGCACCGGTGGCCATTACCAAGTGCAGGATTTTTTCCATTTCATTTTTCTTTTCCTTTCAAACAATTCGAATTTTATTGGACTGACTAATTTTTATGTTATGAACAATTAATTTGCTTATAGATTGTATTTTTTTACTAGTTCATGAACAACTACTAAGCCTTTGTTCATCTTCTTAGTGTTGCATAATTACAAGTTCATGAATCATGAACAACTGCTCTTGGGTTATCAACTTTTTTCTTGGGTTATTTTCTATTAGTTTGACGACAAGTTGGAAGGGGCTCAACAACAAAATCTTCTCTAATGTATATCTGTTATTCATGACTTGTGCATTAACCTGAGACTTAATTGAGAGGCACAGTGTATGATTAGAAGTTTTGTACCTCATAGTCAATAAGTTGTATGATGTTCTTTCCCTTTAGCTTCTTCAGATATTGAATCTCTTGAAAAAGATTCATATGCAATAGAATAATCATGACCTTTAAGCTTGATCCTTTTAAGGGCATAGATTGTAAAATTGTATGAGATGACCTTGTAAACCTCATTGCTTCCTCCACTCCCAATCTTTCCGAACTTCTAGTAGAGATTCCCATTAATTTTAAAGAATAAGTCGAGATCATAAATTCTTTTTACGAGTGCAAGATGTCCCCTTACCACTTATAGCCTTCTCTGGTTTTTCTAATTTAGAGAACTCCTATTTCATATTTGAGGATGAGTTTTTCGTTGATGGATCATGTGATTGTATATTAGAAACCTGATCTGAAGACTTTACTTTAGCTATTTTATCATCCATATGGGAAGGTGCTTTTGCATGGTCAGCATTTCCATCAGCTAACCATTCACGTTGCTTCAAATAATAGGCATGCTTGCTGCCCCATTGGGCTTTGATAGTCCCTGATTATTAACTCATGTTATCCCAAATGCAGAGGTAGTCGCTTTGGTTGAAAGAAACAACTATTTGGTCTGCTAACATATTACTACTATACTTAAGCATAGAAGATGGTGGCTACACGGAATTTCCTCGAGTAACAGGTTGAGGATTCACATTTAATTCTTCTAGAGGTTCTATTTTCATATGAGAACTGTTATCTCAACAAGAACGAGAGTTGTAGGTTGTTGAATTCAGCATAGGCGTAGATGCTGAATGGACTAATGTTGTAGTTGCACAGGGATGAGAGTCTAGGCAAGAACAGAGAAATAAGTAGAATTGTTGGAGTCTCATTTTATCGATGACCGTAGGGTATTGTCACTGGAATCTATTTTCACCGGTGAAATCACCAGCCGCCAGAGAAAACACTACAACCGGTG